AAATGCCTCATTGTTGCTCCCCTGCACACCACATCTCCTCATTTTCTCCTTCCCCACACAGCTTTCCTCAGACCCAGACATGAACTCCCCTCCCCCACAATCTCACTTTGCCATCTGTCTGCTCCCACCTCACCAACACCCACCTCAGCTTCCCTCCTGAGAAACTCCCTGTCTGTCATACCCTTTGTAAGGTCATTGCTTAGCATCTGGGCAGCCATCTTAAGTGACAACCACCATGTTCCCACCCAAGGACCTTTCCAGGGAAAGCTCACCACTCTCTTATAGCAACCACACCCTTCACTGTCCACATTAGAACCCACCTGGCTCTAACCCCTGAGCCTCCCCCCTAAAAGTCTTGAACCCCAAGTCTGTGTTGCTTCTCTCTGTCTATGGAGAGAGGGGCTTTACTTGGCAGCTCTGACAAATAAACTCTCCTGTGTCTCTCTGCCTGGTCTCCGTCTTTCATTTCTCGCTCCCCTGTCTCCTGATTCCTCATTTTCCTTTCATTGTTGCCAAAATCTGGGATCAGGTTTCCCAGTGTGTGCTTGCTCCCCTCTTTGAGGGTCACAGAGCATTGCCAGGCCTTGATCCAAACTCCACTGTGAAACCAGGCCCTCCATTCTGCCCAATGCCCTCTTTGCACCCACCACCAGACATTTCAGGTAAGACTCCTGTCTTTGGTCAACTTAAACAAGCAGAGGACTGATGAGGCCCAGGTCCCCACCATGGGACCACTAACCTCACTTTGCGGGAACTCAGGGTAACTCAGTGTCTTTCAGGTAGGCCTGTCTCCTTCATCCTAGAAAAAGGGGCTACATATTCAGTCCTCAAGGAGTTCTGGGGGCATACTACTTGTCCTATAAAACCTTACCAGCCATGCAAACATCTAGTCTTGTTTGGGCCTTTGGTTCTCTAGTTTTTACTCACTCCTTTTTGATCATTCCACAGTTCCCTGCCCCCATTATGGGAAGGGACATCCTCACAAAGTTGGGAGCCACACTTTCCTTCTCCCCTCTTATATGCTTCCATCTAGACATATCTGCTGCTCCCTTGATCCTCACCTTGACCTTAGGACCAACCCCTGTATTCCATCTGCCAGAGCCTTCCCATTCCCCCTGCCAAGGTGAACCCTACTGTCTGGGATGTTTCAAGTCCATCTATTTCCTGACCCCATGAGCTCATTCACATCAATCTTAAAAACCCCTTCCATTTTCTGGCCCAATCACAACATCCACTCTCCTGACAAACACTTCTCCCTGACAGCCTATCATTGAAGCCCTCTTGCAAATGGGATTCCTTAGACCTATTCATTCTCCTTGCTTTCCCTTCCTCTGCATAGAGCAGCCCCTCAGACTTCTGCTTAGCCCAGGTATGTGTGTGATTAGTCTTGTGCCACCTTTCCTTCATTGATATCCAGGCCCAAACCCTCCTGTTGGTCTAGCTCTCTCCTCTGGGAATTTGAGTTGTTTTGGGAACCCTGTCCTGAAGGCCCAGGATAATAATCACACATCTTTCTCCATTCAACAAGGGCTCTTATTTGGAGTCGTTCCTGGCTTCTTCCCCCTATGCCTTCTGCCCCTCCAGGCCAAGTGACCAAGTGGCTCTCTCCTCCCTTCCGGGCACCCAAGTGCTTCTAGAGGACTTTCCCCTGATATCTGACCATGGCTTCTCATCCATCCCTTCCCTTTGGCAAGTTCACTCTCTGGGCTTGGTTCTCACCTCAGCAGAGCTCTTGAAAGCCC